TAAAAGTACAGATCCTAATGAAAATGAAATAAAAAAATATATAAAAGAAACAAAAGTAGATAAAACTCTTTCTCAGGAGGAAACTCAAAATCTAGAAGGGGAGCTTACTATAAATGAATGTACAGAAGCTATTAAATCCATGAAATTAAATAAATCACCAGGTATTGACGGGCTCAGTGTAGAATTTTATCGAACCTTCTGGACAAATTTAAAAGAAATTGTTGTAAAAGTATTTAACATATGCTATCAAAAAGAAGAAATGAGCACACTACAAAAAATAGGGGTAGTTTCTTTATTATATAAAAAAGGAAACCCTCTTCTTTTGGACAACTATAGACCAATTACTTTACTCAATGTTGACACAAAACTTATGGCATATTCTTTAGCATTACGTCTTAAGCCAATACTAACTAAAATTATCCATAGTGACCAAAATGGTTACATAAAAAATAGGTATATAGGTTTCAACATTCGTCAGATTCAAGACATAATAGACCATGCAGAATACTATAATATTGAAGGAGCATTGCTCTTCATAGATTTTTCCAAAGCTTTTGACTCATTGGAATGGCCATTTATGTATGAAGCACTAAAGAAATTTGGACTTCCAGATCTTTTTATAAAATGGGTTAAAACTCTGTATAAAGATATAAAAGGTTGTATGTTAAACAATGGGTGGGTCTCATCGTCATACAACATTAAGCGCGGTATTAGGCAAGGCTGCCCGTTAAGTTCCCTGATTTTTGTTATTGCCGTAGAAATTTTGTCCTGCAGAATAAGACAAGACACCAACATCAAAGGTTTTCAAATTAAGCTAGATACTAAAACACATAGTTTAAAGATCTCACAATTAGCTGACGACACAACACTTTTTCTAAAATCAAAAAATGAAGTATGTCACACTCTTAATATTATTGAAATCTTTGGAACACTATCAGGTTTAAAACTTAACAGATCAAAAACAGAGGGCATTTGGTTAGGAAAATTAAAACACTGTAAAGATAAGTTTGAAAACATAAAATGGAATAAAGGACCAATAAAAAGTCTAGGAGTTTATTTTGGAACAAATCGAGCTGAATGTGATAAGCTTAATACTGAAAAAATAATACAAAAATGTGACAAATTAATAAGTAATTGGAAAAAAAGAAATCTTACAATGATAGGTAAAATAACAATTGTAAAATCTCTTCTTATACCAAACCTTACATATTTGGCTTCAGTCACAAACCTACCACATGAATTTATTCAACAGTTTAAAACCCTTATTTATAATTTTATATGGGATGGTAAAAAAGAAAAAGTAAAACGAACCATATTAAGCAAAGATACTACTGATGGAGGTCTTAAGATGACAGATATAGACAATTATATAACTGCACTACAAATAGCATGGATTAAAAGACTAACTGCAGATAATTTTGCTAACTGGAAAGTGATTCCGACATTTTACTTAAATAAATTTGGTGCTAATTTCATGTTACTTTACATGAATCCAGATAACATTTACTCCATACAAAACCTACATAAAACTTTACCAAAATTCTACTTAGAAATTGTAAAATCCTGGTTCAAAGTACAAAATTTAAATAACACCAAACTCACGATGAATTTAAAAAACATAAGACAACAAATCTTATGGGGAAATAAAATGATAAAGTTTCAAGGAAAGTGTTTAATTTTTATAAAATGGATAAAAGAAGGTATTATATATGTTAATGATATTATTGACCAGAATGGTAACATCTCTCAAGATATAATATCTAATAAAATACCCTCAAAATCCAATTTAATGTTTGAAATTTCAAAAATTAAATACGCTATACCAAATGAATGGCTCAAGACACTTAAATCAGATCAATCAATAAAATCAAAAGTAAAAAATAAACTTAACCTTTGTATTAAGACAAAAGAAAAAAATAAAATAACAAATTTACAAGCAATGGAAACAAAACAGATATACACACACATTAATAGTAGAAATGAAGACATACCTTCAGGTTTCTTAAAATGGAAACGTGTACTAAATTTAGATTCTTTAATCCCAATTAAATCAATGCTAAATTTCGTATTTACTTATTTAAAAGATAACAGATTAAAACTATTTAAATGGAAATTGTTGCATCATATCCTTCCTTGTAAACAACTGCTCTTTCAATGGAAGATAAAAGAAGACAGTAAATGTGACTTATGTAATGAAACAGAAGATTATAAACATTTTTTTCTGGAATGTCAATACTTTGAAGCTTTTTGGGAAAAGATCAAAATACTATTAAATAAAGTTAAAATTGGTCATCATATCCTAAACTACAGAAATCTCATAGTAGGATATAAAATCTGTGACATCAATTATTATGACATAAATCTTTTGGTAACACTCATTACATTTTCCATCCACAAGTGTACTCACATTTCAAATTATAAAACTACAAATCTTGATGTATATGCCCTGTTCAAAAAAGATTTTTTGAACTATTTAAATATTTCGACACTAACAGGAGTTAAACATGGTAACATTTTGAAAGAAATAAGCTTGTACATATAATTATTATTTTATGCATATATGTTATATGCTATATTTATTCAGCAATACATGTGTCTCATCATTATTTAATCTTTAGACCACGTGTTGTGGACTTCGTCATGATCATGATCAGTGATAAAACATTAAACCCCAATTATCCTAAAAGCATCCTTACTTTTTTTTTTTAAATCACATATTCACAAATAACTAAACTGATATAAACACATCAATTCGCAACCAAGTATGTATACCTACATAATTAATAATAAGTACAAGCAGCTTCGCCAGTCAGCTTGCCTCCATCGTATGAACGTTGATCAACAGGTCATGACCAGGTCAACTAACATATACAGAGTCAAAGCGGTCCACGATTGTAATTTTTCCGGAAATTAATTTCTGAAGTAATCTGTTGTATTGATACATAGAATGTAAATCTAACAATTTATTATTATTAATGTACTGAGCAATCTCCCTGTTTGTTCAGTAAAACTAATCCTACAGGGGTGCCCTGTCAAATGCTGTAGACATGGTATTCATTATAACAGCAATAGTGCAATAAATCAGATTTTAGATAAAAAAAAAAAAAGAATACTGCAGGGTTAATATAACAATTTGAAGATTTTGCATGATTGCCAATGAGACAAATATCCACCAGGGACCAAATGACATTGAAACAACAACTATGGTTCTCCATACGGCCTTCAATAATGAGCAAAACCCAAACCATATAGTTAGCTATAACAGGCCACGACAAGACAAATATAAAACAATTGAAGGAATAAAGCTAACAGCCTGATTTATGTACAAAACAATATACGAAAAATAAATATGATATACAGGACAACTACTGAATTACAGGCTCCTGACTTGGGACAGGCACATACAAAATGTGGTGGGGTTTAACATGTTTGCTGGTGCCAATTTCCCTCCAAACCCTCCCCCTAACCTGGGACAGTTGTATAACAGTACAACATAAGAACAAACTACATTGTATAAAAATCAGTCGAAAAAGTCTGCAAAGCAGAACTGCAAGCTACCAAAAACACAACCCGGACGTGGCAGGAAATTTATACATCCCCTATAACGGAAAAGACACAAAGTACAGATCTGTTAGTACTCACAATTACTGACAGCTATTTTGTGTATTTATAGGTCAGACATCTTGGTTTTCATGATCATCAACAGGTCAATACTGAAGAGGAAACTTAAAGTTGATATTTTTCTACATTGTGTGCTAATTGGATTAGTGTGAAATGGAATGTGTGCTTTCCTGCAAAAAGAAATAGGAAATTTCAACAAAATGGCTATAAACAAAATGGAGTACTATCATAGATGCACAAGAACACAATTGTGTAAATGCAACAACATAAATATTCATTGAAAGAAGGGAGCAATATGGAAAAAATTAGTATTTTGTTGTTGAAATGAACACCTGCTTTGTCCATTCATTTACATCACACCCTTCAATCAGATATACAGAGAAAGATCTTTGAGGAACAAATTGCATAAATGTTTTCTCTAAGAGTTGAAGGAAAATGTCTAGTTGATGGAATAATTTATGCACTGAACTCTTATATAGTGGATTGCATAATTGTACACAGCAGCTGAAACAGAAGAAAATTTAAATTAACATGAAAAGTGTTTATTTAATTTAATCTGCAAATATGAACACAATATTAAGAACAACACAAATGGTATGATATTCAAATCGGTTACTTATTACTGTATTGCAATGAAACAATAACAAAGAAAACAAAAAAAACAAAAAAAATTGCTACAAAAAATATTTTATGAATCAGAATTTAAATCATATAAAGTATGTACAATACCTAGACCTAAACAGTCAGACTATTTTTTTTTGTATGTCATGTTACTCATCAGTCAAACATTTATTAAAGTTTTAAATATCTTTTGTATCATTTCTACAGTCCAGCAAAAATGATATTTCATACTGTTTGTATTGTTAAGAAATTTCCATAGAGGAATAATAGGGGAAAAAATTTCCTTAGGGGAAATTTGATGTACAGAAATTTCCATGGAGGAAATTTGGAGATCAATATTTTCCTCAGAGGAAATTTGCTGTCTTGAATTTTCCCTCAAGGAAAAATGTTTGTCAAAAATTTCCTCACCGGAAATAGAATTTCCTGAAATGAAAAATTTATGCAGCAAAGTTCAGCAAATTTCATCACAGGAAATAGAATTTCCTCAAAGGAAAAATTTTTCCTCTGAGGAAATTCGTAAAAAAGGGGCATAACTTTTTCAACAGTGGGGCTAGAGCCAAATTTTTTTAGGACAAATATCAGGGAACCAATACCAACCAAGCTATCAACTTCATTTTGACCTACCTCGAAAAATTAAGGTGACAACTTTTGCACTCAGCGGAATTGCAAACTTGTCCCGGAGACTGTTATTGCTTGTTATTGAAAGCTGTTATATAACCTGTAGGTGTTTGATTCCTTGCAGTTGAAATGGCATCAACCCCTGTTTCCTGGTTGATGCATGTTTCTTATTGTATATACCTCTTTTTCACTGCCCTTTTGTATTGTTTCTTTAATTATTTGTTTAAATTTGTGATCAACACACGTCTTTATTACAAAATTAAACATACTAACAATACAAATCAATTACAATCATCACACCTGATCTCAAACACTCAAACAGCATACACGTGAATAAAGCGGTTATGGATAAGCATTACCTATACTAGTAAATTAACAGAGCTACCATTTGCTAGATATTAAGTCATTGTTTAAGACTTTTAAACGCATTTCAAAATATTGAATATTTTATTTCCAAACCTATCGTAACTGCTACATCATGTTGTATTATTCTTTTATGCAACAAATTGTGAAATATTTGAAAAATGAAACACTCAAATCAGTTGCATTACCGATCACATTTGCTTCCATCTGGTTTTGTTTGATAGGTTCGACACCATGTATTCCTGTTGACGAACACAACATCCAACGCCATTCCGTCAGTGACATCGTTTGTATTAGAAAGATGTGAATGCTCAATATATCCGCCAACTTCTTTGAAAAAATTTCTTAACATTGCCAAGTTATGCATTGATTTTTCTAAAACTATTTGTTTTCCATCCCAAACTCTATATTCTATTGTCCATACATCAACAATTAAGGTCTTCAGTTGAAGTTCTTTTTTCATATTGTTCAAGACTTCCCTCTCTGCGCCCTCCACGTCTAATGAAAAATAGTCAATTCGAAATTGCTTAATCTTTTTTAAAATTTCGCTTATATTGAAACACGGTACAAAAATAACATGAGACATGTCAACTGTGTTCTCTTTCTCCTTAGGAATGAACTCATAAATTGATCCTTCGGCACCGTTTTTTAGAAACGTTGTACTTCCTGATGACGATAAGCACGCACAAAGACGCCATATATTACGTTGTAATTTGTCAATCGCATGACAATTGTCTGGGTTTGCCTCAATAAGCAATCCTGTCCAGTTGTGTCGTCTTTCTAGCCACAATGTATTTGACCATGTTTTTCCATCGAATCCACCGATTTCAATAAAATATCCATTTTTTTTTCTAATGAGATTATAGACAGTTACATCTTGATTTGCCTGGGAATATCGAATATCTGTATCTGATATAAGACTAGCAGGACAAGGTTTTTTTAAAAACATGTCAATGGTTTCCTTAGTTTTGTCGTCTTTTTTCCCCATGATTCCCTCATAATGGATCGTTGTACTTTTTCTAAGTTCTCCAAAAACATCATGAATAACGAGTAGGGTATGAACTGTTCTTGTAATCATTTCCTTTAAGGTAATTGCCAACATCATTCCGATTGCAATTATAAGAACCAATGTTAACAACTTTGTTTTGTGCCTACGGTATATTCCCATCACAATTTCAATTCTCAAAGTTTTGTTGCAATTGAACGAAGCTCAATGTCTGAAAAGTATAATGAAAATTGATTTATTACATTGAAATTTTGGATAATTTTGAAAAAAGTAAAAACTGGGGAACTATGCGGTATGGGTTTTGCTCATTGCTGAAGGCCGTACAGTGATCTATAGTTGTTAATTTCTATGTCATTTGGTCTCTTGTGGAGAGTTGCCTAATTGGCAATCATACCACATCTTCTTATTTTTATATGATGACATAACAATTCAACAAAATGTATTACCTTAGTGTATACTTCTACAAGTACACCCTATAAAATGACCACTTGATTTAATCTTCCGGAAACAAAATGGCAAGATCGCAGCGCTATCTTTACAGAAGTAGAATGAGATGTCAACAGACTCAACGTGGCTGCAATTTTTGAATGAAAATAGTTACACGTAAGGACGTTGAAGTTTTATCAGTCGAAATGCTGTCCCATGACTGCCAAAAACAAAACGAGTAAGCATTCACAAACACATCTGCTAAGCTTAATAAAGACTGTTTTAATATAAAAGCAAGTAATGGTTGATGATGCAACACATGCGCACATAAAATGTGTTCTTCATTAGATGGTTTTAACAGTCTTACACTGTCTTGCAATTAATCAAGAACATAAATCGGAGAAAGTTTTCATTAACTTCACCTACGGCATACCATTTGTCTTGTCAGGAAAGTGCATTTTAAGTTCAAATGTCAGTTTAAAAAGAAATACCCTTTCATCTTCTCATAAAACAATTCCTTATCTACCAAATAGGGATTCATAGATATCAATGTCATAAGAAATCTTACTTTGTGTAGAACCTTACAGCTTCAAACAACAAATATACCGAAGACATGTATAAGATGTGTTTTTTGTTCTTATCAACAACATATTTGTTCGATATCTCAACATCAATTCGGCATCCTCTGTGTACTTAGTGTACAGCCCTACAGATTTTCTTGCTGCTTTATTCATAGGAAGTAGAGTACATGAAATTAGAATATTTGCTTACTTTAAACCAGAATATATGACAACAATTGCTATTTCAGCATTCACATTATGAACTTCCTCTTTCGCAGCTTATTACCAAATTGTATGACGTTTACATATATCAGTTCATACTTTTAATTGTTCCAACATCAGGTTTTGTTTTTTATCATATTTTGCATTTTTAAAATGGATGTACAAAATGTATAATCCAAAATTAAATGTTGTCTCTAATTATAACCTGCTATAAAATCCAGGCATTACTGTACTTTATCATGTATATTGACTCTTAAAGAAAAATGCCTTATTTTTCTATAATAATTCATTAAGATAGTTGACTACTGAACAATACATTTACAAAAATGATTCTCCTAAATGCATGATTAAATATTGTTCTTTTTAACATTTGAAAATGGTATCTTTTTTTTAAACTATGCTATCATATACTAATATTTAATTAATTCATTGTTTAAGCTTTCGCATAGTAAGTGCTGAATTGTTTTCTAGTTGTTATATTTTGTAATTTTTGTGAGATGAGTCTGCAAATTGTATAGAAAGTATTTTTAATTTAGATTGAGCGAAAATCAACATAGTTTTAAATATCAGAAAAACTTACGACGATTTCAAGGAAATCACATCTCAATAAGTATAATGAAAGAATTTTATTATAATATCTTTTATTCTAAAACAACTTGTTCATAATATCCTCTGCCCATCGTATGGCGTTTACATGACTCAATTGATACATTACACTCATGAATGTTCACTTTATACGTACTTCATTAACAGGAGTGTGCCATTTCAGCAAAATGAGGTAATAGCAATCGACACTACATACATTTTACGGCCATCATCACAAATGAGTTGACTGATACAATAAACAAAATATGTCTGTGTCTGAACTCACTAGCGACATCTATTCACAGTTGTAGATCTTTGGTTACCAAAAGTTTCGTCGAATCTGTAATTTTCCGATTGTGACATTGTGATATACTGTGCATTCATTTTTTTCGTGGATATCAATTTTCGTGGATTGATGAAAACTTACCTTTTCGTGGATATTTAATTTCGTGGTTTTGCCAAAGTCGTCATACAAGCCTATAGAACATTTGTTATTCGTTGAACATCTAGTTTCTTGGTTTATTTATACCCACAAAATCCACGAAAATTGGTATCCAACGAATAATAATGAATCCACAGTAATATGGATACGCACGGCATGCGACGAATGCATAGCAGGAAACGCATACCCTGTCGACGCAATCAGTCTCGTTTCTTTTGGAATTTATTCAAGTGTTTGTTTGTTGCTTAATCTTCACATGTTCGGATTCTTAAATTTTTCAAATGGAGCAATGGCAAAGTGGATAATTAACATAATACTAATTAAATATTTTCTCGTTTGATTAACGTTTGGTCTGACATTTTTGTCGCTAATGATCTTGATAAATCTTGCAAAAAATTACTAAATGAGTTATTATCATATAAAGCAAAATATAATTGCTGATATTTCTGTAAATGTACCAATTCATACGCCCTATGATATGAAATGGAACTGTGTTTTAAATGATATTGATTGTATTGTATTGATGCACATTTACACACCTCTGAAAATTGTTACGCATAGTTCATTTATTTAATTAGCTTTTTTTCTCAGTCAGTGAACATTGTGATAACCGAAAAATATACAAGTATAAACGTAATGAGTTCAAACTTTATATCTTTACGATTAACTGATATTAATACAAGTATTTTTTTCATCTTTTATAAACTAATGACTTTGGTTGACTTGTACGTGTTTAAACGTGAACACTTAATTACATCATTGTCCCACAGTTTTCGTGTCAGTTGTTTTATTTTTATTCATTTATGTTACTATTATAATCCATATTTAACTGTTAAAATAAAGCAATTCTGATAGAATGGCACACATTTCCACTGTACTGGACAAAAGTTTTTATCGACTAATTTACGAAACTTATTTGAAAACAAGGCGTTAATTTCCAAATTACCTGAACAATACAAAACAAGATTAAATGCACGCAGGTGTTGAGTTCAAAATTTCACTTTCAGTTTAAAAAAAAATGGTAATAGAGAGTTTGCATCTATATAGAAATAAGGAGATTAGGTTTAAGCGATTTTTAGGTTAATACAAACATATACAAATCAAGATTGATTTGAAATAGGAAACGTTTGTTACTTTATTTGCTAGGCTCATTCTAAAATATATAGTTAAATGGTTCAAAATTATTATCTGTTAAAATATTAAACTGTTGATGTCAACATTTTGCTTAAGGTATTTATCAATGAAAATAAAAAAAAAAGTATTTTGGTATTGATATAACAATGTCCTCAAACAATTAACGAGTAATTGTCATTATTTGAAGCCTCGCCACTGTGGCCGATGAGACAGTTGATTGCATACCAGTGACAGTTTGTCACGCCATATAGCTACATATCATCGCAACAGTACAAAATGAAATAACACTTTATAATTTGTATGCGTCCGAACCGCTATTCATTTTTACCTTACCTTCAGCAGGATCGCTCAAAGCCAAATATTCGAAAGCCAGAAATGTATGAAAACCGGCAAACGTGTAGAACTATATGACCAAAAAGGGACCTTAAAATAATAGCCAAATCCACCTAATGTCCACTTCGGCTGAATGATTTGGAACCAAAATAATCATTACGTCCCTCACTACAAATGTTTCAATACGAATAAATCTTAATGCATTGTTATTCTTTGAAAAATAAATATTGTTATTTCTTTGAAAAATAAATATTGTTATCTCGTTGCAAAGAAACAAAAACTATGGAGTTTTTTTTCAGTGTAAAAAGCTTTTTCGTGTATTTATTGTTTCTGCGAAAACGGAAATTGAAAATTACACTGAGAAGAACACAAATAACGGTAGGTAATTAGCAACTGATCCGGGATTTCTAAATGTCACGTAAATGTGCTGCAACACAATTTTCAACCATGAAGAATGTGGCTAGGTCGTCGCTGGATTAAGCGATTAAAATATCTAAAGCTATATTAGTAATAACATTTACCGTCCCAGTTTTAATGCATCTAGTTAACAAAAAAAACTGGTTTGAGGGGATTGGCATTGGTAACCCCAATATATTCCTCCCGTTTATTTTTTCTTATACTTAAACCATTGAATGGGTAGGGGTTCATGCATCATTTGCTAAAGTCTTGTTAAAATTCCTCCTTGCATTTTATGTTTATGGTATATTGAATATGACCAGTTTTGGGGTACCATAAAACAAAAACAGTCGAAAACACTAGTAGGCATATAATATTGTGTGTTTATGCAATGCTCTCATTAGGAATACCCATGACTGTTAAAATACGTAGTAGAAGCATATTTTAAAGTAAATCATCTGAAATGTCATGGCAATATTTGAAGCCAAAGTGTTTATAAATGGTTTAAATTTATTGTATAAGTCAAAAATTCTGGCAAGCTCAGATAACATATCTATTTTTAAAACATTTCCAGAAAAAAATTTCGTGTAATTCCTGCTAAAAATTGCTGAAATAAGTTTTGCTTATTAACCTGGAAAATCACGAATTTTATTGAATATGACCGTTTGAAATTTACAAAATCTTAAAACAGTTTGGCTGGCAGACATAAGACAAAAAAGAATATTTTTGGACAAAATTCATTTATTTTTCTACAATTCTTATACAGTCTCTCTTGGCATTATTTTTATGTGTTCAGTTGTAGTCAAGTTTGAATAGGAAAATAGTAATATTCAGGATGGGAGGACTACCTTTGCGGCGAGTAATTTGGAATTGAAATATCAACATGATAATACGTAACATTGGTTTCCCTCCCAAGACTACAAAATGTCCCCGTCATCAAGCGAGCAGACGCTAAATTCAATGTTTTGACAGTCTGTCGCTATCTAAGTGCTATCTTTGTGCTAATGTAGGTTATCTGTTAGCATTAGCCTGTACTAAGATAGATGTTCAGACCATATCTTCTAGAATATTGCCGTTCGTATTTGACAACCAAAAACATACAGTTAAGTACAG